TTTCCTCGGCCATTAGGGCTTCGGCCGATACACGTGTTATTCTTCGGGTTTAAATTCTGTGACTGTTTTTCTCGATTTTGTACTGTATACAAGTTGAAGAAATTGGTCGTGTGATTTGTACAAATTCTTTGTTAGCGAAAAAAAATTTCAGGCTCTTCTAACCCTCACAGTGGGCTCAGGAGACTGGTGGTTCCCTTTCCTATTACAAAAATTTTAACGTTGTTGAAGAGGATTTTTCCTAGTTATAACGTTTGATTAACTATATCACACATTAATTAAAATGTAAGTGGAGCATTCAAGATATGATTGTAGAGTTTAATTCAGAAACACCGATTAAAGGGATGTGGAAGACAGAGAGCAAAAGTGGGACATAAATAGAAATCAGTTCGTGAAAAATTATGGAAGTGGTTAAATAAAATTTTCAGGGAATAAGGAATGAAGTGGGAATTCAGAAGAAATGGAACGGTGGAAGTAGTTGGTAGAAAGACAGAAGCATCGTGGTGTGAATAAGACAGCAATCATATAATATTGAAAACAATATACTAACATATATAGGGCTAATCTTAGAACTCAAAAGAGACTTGCAGCTAGTGTTGTTGGTGTTGGTAAGAGAAAGATCTGGTTAGATCCTAACGAAGCCACTGAAATCTCCAATGCCAACTCTCGTCAAGCTATCAGAAAGTTATACAGAAACGGTACCATTGTCAAGAAGCCAGTTGTTGTTCACTCCAGAGCCAGAGCTAGAGCTTTGTTAGAATCCAAGAGAGCCGGTAGACACATGGGTTACGGTAAGAGAAAGGGTACCAAGGACGCTCGTATGCCTTCTCAAGTTTTGTGGATGAGAAGATTAAGAGTCTTAAGAAGATTATTGGCTAAGTACAGAGATGCCGGTAAGATCGACAAGCACTTGTACCACTCATTATATAAATCTGCCAAGGGTAACTCTTTCAAGCACAAGAGATCTTTAGTCGAACACATCATTCAAGCCAAGGCCGAAGCTTTACGTGAAAAATCATTGAAGGACGAAGCTGAAGCTAGAAGATCTAGAAACAGAGCTGCTCGTGAAAGAAGACAACAAAGAGTCAACGAAAAGAGAGAAGCTTTATTAAATTAAGCTTGACATATTCTGATCACTAATTTAATCTAAGTATTTCTATAAAATTCTCTTTGTTTATTATATATTATAATAGTAACACACTTTCTGTATTTAATTATATGTATGATATGAATTAGCAATTTAGGTGTAGAATTTGGTAACAAGTGTTCCGTCTGGTTGTGGCAACAAATGCGATGAGTTTCAATTTTTCATATGTGGCTCTGACCCGAAGCAATACAATGCCCTTTGCTTGATTACATTAGAATTGTGCATATCTATCTTCTTGAATCGACCTGAGCCCCTAGGTTGGTGCAAAGTGTCAATCTCGTAATAGCGAATAATCTCTTATCCATTCTTGCTAGATCTACACATAAAGTTACATTAATGCATACATTTCTAAGATTACTATAATCTATGACCGGGAACTAAGCTAAAGAGTACCGTAAACACTGCCGTAAACAACAAAATTAGTGCTGTTACCCACAAGCTTCTTTTAATTAATAGTCTATGTATGAATTTTTCCTTAATTTTAATCAAATAGTTTTCGTTTGTAAATGATTCACTATAGCCAAGCCATACCAAGATTGGATCTATGAAGTAAATCGATGATATTAAACAGTATGCAGATATTATGAATGGGATGATGATATAAAGCCTTTTACCTTTCAGGTAATTTAAAAATACAAAAATATAGCTCATCCAAAACCCAATGAATAAGAAGAAGAATCCCAATATGATTCTCCCATACGAAACAAAAAAGTTATTACTAGTACGATTGATGTTCTTTATGGCCACTAAATCCAAAAAGTGAGGCAAATAATAGTTCTCCAATTTATTGAAGACATAAATCTTCACGTTATTAAATGCATCAGGATCGTCTCTACCTTCCACTTCTATGGCTCTTACAATTTCATTCTTAAGGTTACCTGGTAAATACAAATCTTTCTCCGAATCCTCTACGAAGTATTTCAATAATAAATTCTTGGATGATTCTTTTAGGTTATCTCTTGTGATAAAGGAGCTTCGCTCGGACATATTTGGCGAGTTTTTGATGAGTTTTTCTACCGTGCTAGGATTCACGGACGAAACCCTTTTACGTGGCGGTTGTTCTAGTGGCATGTATTTTGGCTGGGCATATACTTGTGATTTGTCAGCGTCTGTAATGTTTAGTTGGTTCGAAACATACGAATCGTCTTCTAACAACCTTGAATTCGACGATACCCTCTTGTCATTAGTATTATTATATATGGGACTGTGTATGGAAGTGGTAGAATCATTCCCCGTGTAGCCTGTGTATCCTGTTTGTCCTCCCTGTGCCGAGTTGTTGGCGACCGTTTGTTCATCGTAGATACTAATTAACTCGGATAACCTTGGATTCACTTCCAAGTCGCCTCGCAAGAACTTTGACAACCTTTTAGAGTCATTGTCCTGCAAAAAATTATCATTTAATATAAGATCTAGTAAAATAGAAGATGAAACAGACTTTGCCTTCGATCTTTCCAGTATGGGCACTGATTGACGATTCTCGTTATATGACTGTCTAATGATGCTATCTCTTAATCCCCGTATATAATGCTTACACAAATTCAAGTGATTCACCAAATCAAACCAAAAGTCTAGGTAATCTGAATTGTGGTCTGTTACTTTCATATAATTGTAAAAATTATGCAAGCTTACTGGCGGTTTTGTCTTGTTAGCTAATATTTCTCCTAGCGTTGGAAGCCGATTTCGTTGAACCGACTGGTTCGTCATGTTCAAATTATCGATATTCGAGAGCTTGTGTGAATTCGGGAAGTCCGTCTGATACTTTTCATCCATCATGCCCTTGAGTAAATATGGTATAGCTATGTGTCAATCCTATAGCTTGAAATCCTTTTCATAGACTGATCTACTTGATACACAAAATTTTGTAAAGGTAAACAAATCGTTTATTATGTAAGCATTTGAAATATCGCTTTAAAACTCTTCTACTGGGTTCGAGTACTCTTTTTAGACGAGCTGATTTTTCGCATATGGTATCGTCTATATGTTGCTTAGTATGCATCTGCGTGGTTTAAGTCAAGAGTCGGTATGCTCACATCGCCCTTTTTGTAGCATTGGAAGAAATTAGTGTAAAATTGAGTGTGGCATATAATCTATGATAATCGAAGTAATTCAAAATAACGTTAGAAATTAAATATTAGACATTACATCATAATAACAACCAAGTAAACACAATTTACAAAGGTATTATTTTATTTTTCATGTGGGACTACACCACATTAATTGTCGCTTCTTGTAGAAAATGGTTCGTTAAGCTCGTAATGTAGTGAACAAGCTAATTTTTGTTTTGCTAGAATAAATATTTGTTACATGTAACATAGATCCTATATTTCCCGTGTCTATAGTGCCTACTGCTATACCTCCGTCTTCTTGTATTCTAAAGAGAACAAGATGTTTTCTGGAAATTCCTCATTTTGCTGAATTTTGCAATCTTCACACAACCTCAATACGGAATGATATCTTTTGGCATTTATATCAAAATATGCATTTCTTGTGAAAAATAACCCTATTTGCATACATTGAAAATATTCGAACTGACACATTTCTATATCAATACACTACTTTAACTATTTACCCCAATCCTCCTCTTGTTCGCCCAAGCTTGCTCCAATTCTATATACTCCAAGAGCTACTACTTTCAAACGCCTTTAAGCTAAAGCAACAAGAGTCTTGTGTGCAATAGAAATATCCGAATCTGGTTCACCCCCCTTCGTCTTTCTCCGAATTATTTAAACAATAAGATTTGCTATCTAAAAATTGTCAAATAATGCAGATGCAACCAGGTTACTTTTAGGTTTAAGTATGGGTGTATATATGTTTAATCAAAATTTACACACATACACCAAGGTTTTCCTCAGATCTTTAACACCCAAAAGTAATATAAGATAATATCAAAGGCCACAATTGATGATGTAGAAGTATGCGATTGGTGTTAGATCATATGCAGTGTATGTAGTCATGTTGTAATCGATCTGTGGATGTGAAATTAGGAAAAACGAACCGAAAGGCCGACAAATGTCGAAATGTAGTTGAAGAAATGCCGTACCAAAAATTGAGATTAGTTTCTTAATTTTCATTGGACAATAAAGATAGAAATGCTATTTATTGCAAATGGAGAATATATACGATAAAGAAGAAGTCTATAATAGAATTAAGTGTTATAAAGAAGGATAGTAACGGTTTAGAAGTTATTTTTATATTGGAAGGAAAGCCAACTACGTTAAAAAAATATAGGACACACAGATGATATGTTGTCTCTTGGAATATTAAACGATTCCCCCACCAAATTTAACAAGAATATCTTGAATATCAAGCTCAATGTGTTCAAATTTTTAAACACAATCTTATACAATAAGGATACGCTTTTTCCACCCTTGAGTAGGAGTAGCTTTCCAGGGTTGGTCAGTAGAGGGGCCGTGGCATGTGCGGCCGACGATTTGGAGCTTTTCAGTAGCAATACATTTGATTTTAGCTATGACTTGGGTACTTCAAACTACAATCCAAGCACTGGTATAGATAACAGTTTACTGGCCTTCAAATATGGTGGTGTGGAGCCAAAGCAGAAATATGAACGGTATGCTTCTTTAGAAGAACCTTATGACTTTTATTCTTCGAGTGAAGGATTCGTAAGTCCTGAGGAAGACGATTCGTGGAAAAGCGGTTTCAAGAAGAGAAAATGCGACGAAGATGCCTCTACTGCGTCTAACGCATCGTCCGAAGCAGCTGTGAGTATAAAATATCAATACGATATGGATCCGATGTCATACAATAATCTGTCGCTCTACGATGTTGATCGTTTATTTAACGACTTAATCCAGGATTTACCTAAATCACAACCATACCACCACGGTCAAACGTCGCACCAATTATTGCAATCAATTACACAACCTAATCACACCCTGCATTCGGTTCCAGACTACGGTACTGAACGTACACATTCACATACTGGCTACACTAATGAACATCAGACATATACAAACTATGCAGCTGAGCAGGAACAATTAGAAACAGGTAAACTGCTGTCACAGCCTCATTCCATGAATGGTGAAAAAACCAAGAATACTAAGATCAACGAATTGTTGAAATATAAATGCCCTCATTGTGAAGCTAAATTTAAGGTCAAGGGATATTTAACCCGTCATATTAAGAAACACAACACATTAAAAGCATTCAAGTGTCCATTTTATGAAGAGCCCCGTAGCGAGACCAAGGGAACAAAATGCCACCCAACAGGTGGATTTTCTAGAAGGGACACATACAAAACCCACTTGAAGGCTCTACATTTCATTTACCCACCAGGTACTAAATCAAGTGAAAGAAGCTCTATTAGTGGTCGCTGTGCTGGATGCTTCCAATATTTTGAAAATAATATGAAATGGTTGGAAAACCACATCGAAAATGGCGAGGGATGCCAAGGGTCTGTCAATAATGCAGTGAAGGAGGAGTTTGAATGAATCACCTCTAAATATCGGACAATTTCATAGACTAGTTCCTTGAAGTAAGCTGGAACTGATACAATTTCCTATCTCCTATCATTGGCTTTATCGGGAAGTAAAGTCGTACAATACCAAACTAAACTTCAATAATGCTAGCATTGCTTAGATGCCAGTCAATTATAATATGAAATGCTGCTTTGCACTGAATGGTAAACATTTGTTGCATTTCTTTTATTGACAGGCTCATAGTAACAGTTTCAATTCATCAGTAATAGTGTGACATTAAACACTATCTCATTTTCATAATCATTCCCATTCAATCACCATGTGATAACTTATTCTGATAACAGAATTGCCAAAACGTGCATTTTATTTCTTCGTATAATATAGTGAAATCTTAATTAATTATTCATTGTTTGTAGCTCCTTATAGATTATCTGTTTGTTGAATGTGCATGGAATTATAACATTACTTTTACATGCTTGTAATCATAGATTAGTGGATATCCTCTAGGAGAATTTAAAATTTTCTCTGCAACTGATGTTCTATTGTTATCTTATCTATTCTTATCAACTTTTTGAAATTTTATAGATTTTCGTTAATTCTTAACGATTAAGAAACTTTATCTGTAAAAAAATTATCAAAACGGCTAAATAATAACAATAGTATAGATTCATCACATAATCTATTGATTATGTCGTTATATCCAGTCTATATCTTATCAGTGTAAGTCCTATCATCTTCGTAGATATCATATAATGATTGCAAAATCCATATACGTGTAATTTTGGTCACACAATGCGTGTAAATAACATCATGTTGAATTTTCGCCCTTTCGCCGATTTAACCAGCAGGATGGGATTAATTAAACTACTTTAATACTTCTTTAAGTTACTTTACATAAGTTAATTAAACAAACTAATCACTAAAAAAATGTCTTCATTAGATAAATCATTAGACGATATTATTTCCACTTCCAGAAAATCGATTAAATCCAAGAGATTAAATCGTGGTGGTAATGGTAAAGTTGGGAAGAAAATTGGTGCATCAAACAAAAAACCAATTGTTTCTTTCAAGAAATCAACCCCAGCTGCTCCTAAGAAATCAACTGCCGTAGATGTGTCTTATGCTACTAAAGTTGTTGTTTATGGATTGCCAAGAGATATTAAATTAGATGCTATTAAGGTATGTTTGAATTAATCATGAATATTCTTTTAATTCAACTTAGATACAATTTTTTCTTTCTATTTTGTTATTTTGTTTTTTGTGTTTTATTTATTTATTGGTGTGTGAATAATGTATTACGGGACTTTTAGTTGATAAAGGGTATACATTGGGAGACCAAACTTTGGGTCTAAAATTTGGGATACGGATTATAGAAATGGCATGTTTTTTTCTTTGCTAACTAGGCTAATGGCTAGACCATTCACGCCTATGGAGTGCTTTCTTTTTTTCACTTTCGAGTTGAAATACAAAGAAATTGATATTTTTAATATCACTACCTTTTAGGTAACCGTCTGGTACGGGAATTTATTATTTATCTGATAATGGCCGCACAACTGACTAGAGTCTGCAAGGAGTTGACTTATTCAACGTGTTTCACAGTCTTATCTTAATAATACGTCGTAATTTGTTGCCTGTGCTAATATTCAATTCATATTATCAAAGTATGTTAATTGAATAATTCTCACACCAGCAACCTCGACTAATCTACAGACACTGAATACCAGGAAGCGAAGATTTCTCAATCATTTCATCCCCTTTTAATATTGTCAGAAGACATGACTAAGTCGTGTTTGAGGCTTCTAGATGTTTTTTCTGGAACTTGATTGAGAATCTTGTAATGCTTACAATGCAGTAACGGGAGGAGGTATAGAAGGCATTTATGTGAAACAATTATCAGATAAATAATAGAAACAATTCATTACATTACAATAAGTAATAAGACATAATCGAAACTAACAAAATGATTTTTTATAGATATAACATTTGACTAACATAAATAGGATTTTTTCCAATCGCAAGTTGGAGGTGTTCAAAACATTGCTTTATCGTACAATGAAAAGGGTCAATTCAAGGGTATTGCTACTATTATTTTCAAATCTAGCAAGTCTGCTAGTAAGGCTGTTGAGAAATATAATGGTGCTCCAATTGATGGCGGATCTTCTAAATTAAAATTAGAATTAATCATTGATCCTACTAAAAAGCCATTAACCTCAAGAATTGCCGCTAACAAGGTTGCAGCTCCTAAGGCAGCTAACCCTAAGCTTGCTGCTGCTAAAGCTGCTGCTAAGGCTAACTTGAAGAGTAAGAAGGCTAAGCCAGCTCAACAAAAGAAGCCAGCCAAAAAATCTAAAAAGACTGTTGAACAATTAGACCAAGAAATGGCTGATTATTTCGATAACTAATCTTGTGTCATATATAATTGATTTATATAGTATGTAATTGAATTGTAAAATTATTATGGTATCGTTAGATAGCAGAATGCATTTGGAAATTTCGCCAACCACTTGCATTGTTTACGCGTAGAACAATATAAACGAAAAAAAAGTCAAAATTGGAAGTGCATTTTCATTAAATATGAATGAAATTGAAGGTAGCTTGGAGATAAATTAACATAGAGCATTAGTTATAACTATGAGCAACATTGAATACATTATAACAGCCGAGTTTCACATAGATAAAGGGCCGTCCTTAATTCATCAATTTCCTCGTGAAATTCCTGGATTGCAAACGAATTTGACTTTCTTACCGGAAATAATGATACCAGACCAAATACATAAAAGAGAGGAAGATTTTACGTTGTTTTTATTGTTTAAGGACAGAAATACAGGAGAATTTCAATATATCTACGACAAGAAGACATGCGAGGACGCACCTTATTATTTGTATACTCTAGTTAATAGTGTGAAACATGATTCTTATCAGAGAGGTTCCAGAGTGAAGTCAATATCAATTATAACTAAGCTTCCGTATTTTAAGAATTTTAAGCCGTTGTTAATGCTTTGTTTGAATAGTTATTTCGAAGAGAACGAAGAAGATCACTTGCATAATTTGTTTGAGGCCATCAACGTCAAGAATTTCAGTTTGGGAAATTCATTGTCTAACATCAAAAAGCTTTTAATTACTTCGATCCTAGATTTACCAATAAACGATAAGATATATAAAGATGAGAAGTTTAGGATGAGTTTGTTGGAATTAAGTAAAGCGAATAATTATAATTTTGACTTATTCATTAGGAAGGATTTAAGTTTCAATTCAATCATTAACTTTAATAATATGAACATTCCTATTAAAATACCAATGATAGATTTGCCTGATACTATAGGAGACTATTTAAATCCTACCGACATGAGCTTTAAGGCTGATTTGATAAATCTTTTAAGCGCAAGGCTTGTGACTGATTTGCACAATAGTGAATTAACGATATATGGACAACAAACTCCCCCAATTATAATATTAATTAATGCAATTTTGGTGGGAAAGAAAATTGTTTTTTTAAGTTATGACAAATCTGCTGGATATATCATTGACAACATCTTGTTAATGTTAAAAATAATTACTGGTGGAGGAATTTTAAGCGGGTTATTAACCAACTATAATATCTTCCCGATTCTTGATGTTTCGAAGATAGATTACCTTGAAAAATGTGATTCATATATTGCGGGTACAATTAATCCATTTTTCAAACACAACGATAAACTATGGGATTTATTATACGACTTAGACTCAAATGAGTTATTCTTGTCGTCCAATTCCTCGAGTCCTATAAGCTCTGAACAAAATATGTTCAAAAATTCTATTATTTCAGAGGATGCAAAATTCTTGTCTACGTTGCAGTTGTCGCTATTTAATTACAACGACGACTTGACTACCATACAAATGATTTTTAGAAGGCACATTAATGAAATTGTTCGTATACTATTAAGTCTGAGAAATTTCAATAGCGACTTGCTACCCCCGGACGAAGCACATACGTTATTGCTTGAGGGAGTTGGATATTTCTGGAATAGTGATTCCAACAAGCTACTTGAAATGTCGTGCTACCAGTCGATCTCTAAGAAATTTCAGAACCAATTGTACAGTGGGAAGATTGTATATAACTTATTGTTGCCGAATTTGGCAAATGAGATGAACGTAATGATCGACTTGCAATACCATTTGCAAAGCTTGAATAGCTCGTCTAATAAGCTCAATGATTGGGACATATGGTACAGCATATTGAAGTATTTGATAAGCGGTAAGACTCTTGAGGTGTTCTTGCTAGCAACGTATTTGATTCCTCCTAATTCGTCCGCAACTTTACAAACCAGCTCTGCCCACGGTAATCCGACAGTGTTTGAAAAGAATAAGGGTATCGAGCTTCTATTGCTCAACCTTTTCAACCAAGATGACAAAATTAAATCCATCATCATTATGATCTTACAGGAACTCCACGAAAACTTCCTCTGCGGATGGTGTATCGAAAGCTTCGTCAAGTCAAATATGATGTATGAAATGGCTTTCAAAGATTTATTGGCTATTCATCAATGACCTATATACACTGCTATTTATGCCTAATTCCATATTTATATCCTATTTGCAATTTTTCTTCATTTTGCTGAATGCAACCTCCAATCTCACATTCTTCTTCCCATTAATGCAGGCCCTCTTCAGTAAATATGCTCCACTAACCTTCCTAGTCCTTTCCGAAATATGCCATGATCGAGAGCCTGTCTCCAGGTTTTCTGCTCGAGTACGAAGACCCTGCTCCCACATACTTCGATTCTCTTACGTATTTAGTATCACCATCATTCAATGGAACCCCTGGTCTCAACGTGCTGTCTTCAAACTCTCTTTGCTTCGAATCTACAAGTGCATCGGAATCACCTTTATGTCTGAGATCCTTCCTCATTGAGATATGCCTCTTTCCACCTACGGCAAGGGCGATGGCAATAACGCCGAATATTCCCAACTTGGTAAATAACCCTCTTTGTGTTTCCATCTTGCTATAACCGTCCAAATAATTGTTTTCCGAAGTAATGCAAATCACTACTAACGAATATTCATGTTTTAATGAGCTGATGTAGTGAAATTATAGACTTCCTAATTAAGTAATAAATGATATACACGCGAATATATCAAAAACTCAGATCTTATCCCCACGAATAGAATTTACATGTGATTGGAAACAAATAGCCACGGTCTATCAAAATAAACATTTAAGTGTATATATATATATACGATTTGGGAGACTACGTGTCCAAGAATTAAGTATCGGATCAGAAACGAGACTAACAGAGACAAACAGACAACAAAAATGGCCGAAATCGAAGAACTTGCCCATGCTATTGCGGGCGCTGGTGGAGGTGCGTTATCTATGATAGTAACGTACCCATTGGTGACATTATCAACGTTAGCTCAAACTACGCAAAAAAAAAAGGAAGAAAAGCAAGTGGAAGAGAAAGAAGTCGAGGCTAAGGAATACCACTACAGAATTGTAAATAAGATAGTGAAGTCTTCGTCGTACCAAGCAGCTCAGGAGATCATTAGGAAAAATGGAGTTTTAGGGCTCTACTCGGGATTGGAGAGTGCGTTATATGGTATAACGTTAACGAATTTCATCTATTACTACTTTTACGAGTTGACGTCGAATGTGTTTTTGAGGGCCAATGTAGGCAAGAGAAAGGGAGGAGGGTTATCGACGGTGCAGTCAATCATCACGGGTGCTATCGCCGGGGCTGTGACTTGTGTTGGGTCGAATCCGTTCTGGGTGGCTAACACCAGAATGATGACCGACAAGAACAGGGGCTCGGATGGAGAAAAGCAGGCCACCCAATCCACTTTCAAGACATTCCTCAACATCATTGAGAACGATGGTGTGGGCACCTTGTTCGCAGGTGTGTTACCAGCGTTGGTGTTGGTGATCAACCCGATTATCCAGTACACCATTTTCGAGCAGATCAAGAACGTAATAATTGCCAAGAACGGTAAGAAGTCTTTCACTGCCGTCAATGCCTTTTTCATAGGTGCGTTAGGTAAACTTATTGCCACATCGTTGACGTATCCATACATTACATTGAAGTCGAGAATGCACGTCAAGAAGAAGAAATTATCGAAGGAGGTTTCTGATGAGGAAGACATAAAGTTGTCGATGATCCAAGAAATCAAAAAGATTATTAAGGATGAAGGTCTCGAAGGCTTGTACGGCGGTTTGACTGTAAAATTAATTCAGTCAATCAGTACAGCCGCATTTTTATTCTACTTTAAGGAAGAATTGTTGACTGGTTCTGTCAAATTAGTCCAAATATTCAGGTTGTTAAAGATGAAGAAAAATACTGGTAAATAGATTATATATAATATGTATTTAGTTAAAAACTCAAATATAGTTGATTAAATACCTCAATATATTAAGTCTTATGACTTTGAAGTCAGTTGCCGGAAAGCCGAAAAAATTGGCGATACTGCAACATATGCGCAGTAACTCCATTTATGGTCAATTTTTTTGTTCAATAAATTCATTCTTTTTATACCTTAAGCTTGGGTAAAGGATATAATGTCTGAAAGTATAGCAACAACAACTGACCAAGAAGCTTCCACTCCTAGACGGTCAGTTGCCAGAAGGGCGTGTTTGTCATGTCGAGAGAAGAAAATTAAGTGTGATGGTGAAGATATAAGTCGAATGAATATTGAAAATGCTGGGGATAAAAATAACCAGAACCCAACTATTTGTACTAATTGTAAGTTCTTAGGGACTGAATGTGTTTTTGTACGAAGTATGAGAGGAGGTAGACGTAAGAGAAAAGTTGACTCTGAAAAAGGGAATGTTAAT